CGGCTGCCAGTTACAATAATGGTAATCACAGATACAGAGCTTTACTGAGGTTATTAATTACATTATGGGTATTCAACCTCATGGAGGCTTGTAGTGCTTCTGGGAGTGGAAACAGAATTGTACAGTATGAAGAAATAAAAGCATTAAAATTGTTTAATAAAAAGTTTTATAAGTTATTTCTATTTCCAAAATTAAACCAAATATTTTACCCACCATTTAAAATTCTAGACTCCTAGAAACCCAATCCAAGAATGAGAAATCCATATCCACAATTAATTATCAACATAGTTTATAGATTAAAACAGAAATAATGAACTCCCATGTCTCATTCTCTAACTAAACTCCGTATATATTTTAACATTATTGTATTAGAAAATCGATACTTTATTCCTTGGTCTCTTCCATCTGCCTGCCAGGCCTTGATTTTAACCCTTATCAAACTTATAACCCAATATAAAAAAAATAAGTAAATAAGGTCTTGCCTCAGACCTCTATTGCCAGAGGATGAAGAACTCATTCAGAGTATCCTGAGGACAAAGTATCTGCAGGAGGGCCAGTTTGGGGTCAATACAGCCACTGGTCCAGCAGAACCACACCCCTACTCCCTAGACCCTTGCACATGGTAGGCTGGATCCCACCAATATTGGTCAGCACTAAGAGACCCCAAATAGAACTGCTAACGAAAAACCCCAAGCCGCAACATGAAAGGATGGCTTTTGGCACAACACTTTGATCAAAACTAATGCTCTGGCTACTAGCTCTTGACCATGGCATGACTGAGGCCTGAACTTGGCCAGTCAATGTCTTGCCTATCTCTCGTGACTTTTCAGTTGTAAACTTGGCCAACTGATCACGCTCCTATCTACCTAACTCTTCACCGGAACTCAGTTTTATATCTAAAACTGCCTGCCACTTCCAGGTGCCAGCCCTGGTGAGAAGCTCCTGTGTACTCCTGCCCCTGCTACCTGTCTTCAGGCTGCAGTGGTAATCCGGCTAGCATGGTAGAATCCTGACTAACAATGACCAATGTACAAGAGAGAGGGTTGTAGTCAACAGAGCATATTTGAACATTAGTCCAGGATAGGAATGGGCTTGAATTTATTCTAAAATGCCAAATCTCATTCATACCATTTCGAACAAAACACAAAAGTTTAAAAAAAAGGATTTTCAGCTCTTTCCTTATTGATGTAGAATACAACTTAGTTTCAATATAGCAAACGGATTTGGATAAACTCTAGAGTTTGTTTTAATGGAAATATATCTGTATGTGTAGAAGTTTAATTTGCATATGTATTTCATAGATAAAGAGACATTTTATAAATGAAAGTGTTTACTTAGCAAACAGCCATATGGACACAATTATACTTATTTAATATAAGAAAATAAGTCACTTACAGAGAAGTAAAAGAAAATTGATACTATTAATAAGTATTAATAATCATTCATACATACATTTTTTTAAGCAGGTATTAAAGGATATCACCATTCTTAACACAAATAAAATATTATAATGTCTGAATTTCTCCCAAAAATACCACATATAATTCAGACTTGTTTTTTCTAGTCAAATTAGTGAAGTTTAACATACTCCAATGTGTAATTAAAATACCTCCCCAGTGCTTTTCCACATCAGCACCCCAGCTACCTGCTACCATTTCTTCAGTTAAACCTAACTAATAGAGGTCAGCCCAGTCAATACTACCAAAGATGAAATCTGACTTCCATGAACATGTCTCATTCATTTCTGATCCTTACAAAATGGCACCGAACTTGGAATGGAGTATGTACACCATGAGTGTTTACTGACTGAGAGAATAAGTTTGAAAAAGAAAGATAAAGTACTCCAATATGTAACACTGAGCTATGTATTAGAAAAGCTTATTATATTAGTATGCATTCCATCATTTTATTAGTAAGAAAGTTAGCAGGCCAAAGGCCCATACCAACGCACTTTCAATACATCATTCCATAGAGAAAAAGAAACCCACATGAAAGATTCACAAAAGGCAGCCAAAAGAAGTTATTTCTCCCGAGTTATCTCTCCCCCCATAAAAGCATGAGGAAAAGCTGGTATCAGCACTTCTTAGAAAGGTCATGCTGTTGCATTGCTACTATGACACAATGGTTAGGAAGGAAAGGAAGATGGTTTATTAGTTCACTCCCCAAGAGGATTTTTCTGGCATTGCACCAAGTAATGGGAGGTGATGGACTATGCAGTACAGCATAAGGAGGTGAAAAAGAGCTGACAATTAATTCATTGTCTTCCGAATGACTCAACTTTGTAGGGACCATGCTAATATAGTCAAAGCAAACACTATAACAATAAATCAGGCAATCATGATGCAAGAGAAGCTACATCCAGAATTATGGATAAAAACTTACCACCTAGAAGGAAAATTTATTTTAAAAATGAATCCAGAGGAGGAAAATAAGAGAAATATTTTCGTATGGTTAGTTTTTATCATAGCTACTATACAGTCAACATACTTCTAACAGCATGCACTGTAAATAAGGATAAAGAAAACTCTAATACAGTCAACTTGAACATAGAGACTTCTAAGTATTTAGTACCTATTTTTAAACAAAGCCAAGATCCAACAATAGTCACCAATAGCATGATCTTCAAGATGGCATAGAAATTTACTGTTATTTACCATTTTCTTCCTTTTACATCAGTAATTTTGCTACTACAGCCCACTGTTAATTATCTATGATTAGCATAACTCAAGATAATATTAAAATGTTCATTTAGTCTCTTCCATCCTAGTTACCAAAAAGAATTGTGACACTTTATCGAATCTCCTTACAATTCCTCAAAAGGCATCTGAAGAAGGGGCAAGAGCAAATGGCTGAGATCTGTGGTTCTAAACCTGTGGGCAACAGACCCTGGCATGCCCACAGCTTGTGTGGACATCAAGCATGCCGACTTATTAGAACAAATATTTCACACTTCTATTTACTACTAAGATGTTTCAAATTATCATGATTACTAAAATACATGTTTATTTGAAAGCATTATTAAAGCAACGGTAGCTTTATAAAAAGCAATTCAGGATTTAACAGAAAAAAATAATCTAACAACCTCTACAGAAGGCCTATGAGATCCCCCCACCCCTCCATCCCCTACTCCCATCATTATGCATTTTCTCAGTTAACAGGCACTAAATGCACAGCTATCATATGTATGTTGATAGAGGTACCCTCAAAATACCTGACGTGGAAAAGCTTCCTCTTACTCAAAGGTGCTAGAAATCCCTAGCTTGGGTCAGTGTTATGTGTAGACAAACATACTCAGAATGCTCTCTTTCAGGCTGAAAGTTAAGAAATTGGGGAATGGGGGAGGAGAGCGAGGAAAAGGATGGGGCAGAGTTGCAGCTCTTATCACAAGACGGCAAAGACGAAAGTAATAAAAAACTTGTTTCACTGGTGACAGAAGCATAGGTCAGGGCAATCCACTGATGGATCATCCCCTTAGAAGCTGGATGAATATAAGATTCTGATATTTATTTCAAGGGTCATACTATGGGAATCCCAACACCCTCATTTCCACATGACAACCCTATTATCTGAGAATGGTCCCTGAAAAGTATCTAGATTTTTAGTCTATGTCATCTCTGGATGCAAGCCACATATGCCTTCAAGCCACGAAGTTATTCTAAATTCACCTCTTGCTGATTACACAAAAGAAATTCCTAGTAGAGTATGTGAAGACGGTGTTAAAATTGATTCTATCACTGTATCTCCTCTTCACATTTCTGATAGTGGAACCTTTTTATCTCCAGTGCTCTTATAATAGACACTCCCCATCTTAATGGTCTTTAACAGCTCCATTTTGCCTTTCTTAAAAAGGAACAATTCCAAATAAGCAAATTATGTGGCCTTTGGACTTTCAAAATAAATTTTGAACCAATCAATATCTAATTAGTTCTTTTAACAGAATGTTTTAAATTGTAAGGTAAAGTATATCATACCAAATCAAGGGATGATCTAAACCCTCTAAGCACACAGAAAACCTGATCTTTTCTGTTCAAAATAAACGGACTTGGGGCTATGAAATTATTTTTGTTCTAAGTATCTGTAGTAAACTAAAACATTCTCAATTTCTCTACTATGAACAGTTTAAATAAATCCTAAGATTCCACTTCTGTAAAAGGTGGAAATTTATGTACAATTATAAATTTAAGAAGTCCACCATCTACTTTAAATAGAAAAGGAGAGGGCAATTAGATTAGTTGATATTTCAACTAATAAAAGGCCAGGTGAGCTGAGCAGTACAGAAAAGACTGAGTTCTTAGATTTATTACTGTATTTAGTGAAAATACAGCTGACATTCTCAGGTCTAACTTTTATCTTCTTTTCATCATTGCATATCAGTCGTTATACATAACCAAAAAACAAAACAAAACAAAAGCAAAAGCTCTGTCTCTGCCACCTAGTGGAGAAAGAAGATATAGAACACACATTATATGATAACTCAAGTCATCTAGATAATATGGTATCCACTTAAAATTATGCTCTATGTCTTGGACGAAGTACAGCCAAAATGCTCCTTAGAAGCAAGGATAGCAAGACTTTGTCTTACATACTCTGGATATGCTATCAGGAGGGACCAATCCCTGGAGAAGGACATCATGCTTGATAAAACAGAAGGTCAGCAAATAAGAGGAAGACCCTCAACGAGATGGACTGACACAGTGGCTGCAACAATGGGCTCAAACATAGAAACGATCGCGAGGATGGGGCAAGTGTTTTGTTCTGTTGTGCCTAGCATCTCTATGAGTCGGAACCAACTCAGCAGCATCTAACAGCAACATGAGAGCATATAAAATAAAATGTTATTTCTTTTTCCAAAAGATTTATGTTGATGTACCCACCGTGGGAACCATGCAGAGAACAAGAGAGAGGAAAACAAAGAATAATCATGTATGGGCACAAAAGCAAAGATAAGTTCAAGACATTTTTGGATTTCTGTAAGATAGCTTCACAAAACCTACACTTACATGGCCGTGTAGATCGGTGTTAAGAAGCATTATTGCACATGTGAGGCAATGGACTCCATCTAAAGAAAGAGAAAGGGACAGAAAGCTTTAATTCACTATTTTCAATTGGGCTAAGATACACACCTCTTATGATCATTAAAAATTATACATTAAGAACCGATGAAAACAAGATACTGAGCTAGGTACAATCATGTTCAATTGGCGGGAAAGAAAATGGGTAACAGTAAAATACTAAAAGAACTTCAAAACACAGAATTGGACCCTACTGGTAATAAAGTTGTTCCTTAACTCTCTGGAGAACAACTTGACAGTATATAACACACACTTTGAAACAGTGTCCTTTGACACAGTAAATCCACTTCTAAGGCTTTACACTAAGGAAACAATTAAGGTTCTACACAAAGGACAAGAATATCCAGAGTAGCATTGCTTACAATGGGGGACAAGTAAATGACCCCTCCAAAATATAGTTTTATTATGTGAAGTGATTAAACATTTTGTCCAAGTATTCATGTTGACATGAAAAAGATATTTCAAAGAAAATTATTATATGAAAAACCATTATGTACAGTATGGTTCTATTTAAATACACTTATACACTAGGAGAGTATACACCAAAATATTAAGAGATCATCTTTGGGTAGTGATATTATAATTTTTATGTATTTATACTTTCTGAATTTCCCATAACACAGGATGTGGAAATGAATATGAATTATTTAATACTGTAACTTTTTTTTTTTTTTTAATTTTCTAGAAGGAAAGTGAATTGGGAAAGAAGTAGAAGTTAAAGAAAACCAAAATTAGAGTCTTCCACTGTTTATACTTTAGGTATTATTTCTCTAAAAATATACACATGGAAATAGTTCTCTTCTTTCACGTCATTCTTAAAAGGTTGGATAGATTGGTCTAGGATACCATGCATCAGACAAAAGTATAACATTGAAATAGTCTATGAAGACCAAATATTAAATATTTAGGAGAAAATAAGGTTACCCAAACCAGAAAGATTGTCTCACACTTAAATGGAAGCATCACCCTTTACAAAGATACGAAAAAGCAGAAGAGTTAAGTTTGTTGTTTCCAAACCTAAGAACTGGTTCTTCTCCTTGCTCATTCTATACCAGTCATCAATCCATGTACAGTTGGTAATACCAGCTCCAGATGCAGTAAAAGTCTTATTAACTTATGCTAAATGGATAGAAAGGCCTGTCAAAATCACTGAGTTGATAAACTAAAGATGGTTAACATTTTCAGGTACATAAAGAAACTATGGGTATGTTACAGTTTTAGTATAGAAGGGGATTTCTGTTATCAAGGTCTATAAATGGATGCTACTAAATGACTAATGGCACATTCCAGTTCCATTTTAATTATCACAAATTCTCAAATAATTTAAAAGGAATTCCTGAAAGCATTTGTAAAAATCGGCATTGACTCTCAAATATCCTTATGAACAGCCAATTATGTGCACAAATCCATTTCCTTATTGTATCCAGGATCATCAACATCTTCCTTAGATATGAAGAAGTCTTCTAATAAAGACAACCCTCTTCTACTCTTTCTATCTCTAGTCAATGCTGAAGGTAAAAGAGATAGTGAATAACTGGTGCAAATGCAGTTGCTTTTTTAAAAAAAGGAACAAAGACAAGTTACCAGTTTACAGATAAGAATGGGACCTTAGTAATCAGAAGGTTAGTTAACTGAACCTGTAGCATGGCACATGGGGTTCCTATGAGTCCATATGGACTCGCGCCCCTAACAACAACACAGCCTTAGGGCGGGGAAGCAATCACTTTAGTCAATGTCAATAGTTATTCCAGTTAATTACCAATATTTAAACTAAGAGATAATTACTATTTCTTGCATATCTGGCCCCAGCAATTTATTTCAGAATTTGTAAGTTTATAAAAGATTTTCTAATAGCAATAGAGTGCACTTAACTTTAAACACTGAAAACTTAATTGTTGGAAATGAAATCAATGGAGAAAAGACTTCTCTTCATAGTTAAAAGTTACTTTTAACAGAAGAAAGGCCCGGCAATCTGCCTCTATAAAGATTACAGCCAAGAAAACTCTATGGAGCAGTGCTACTCTAAAAGATGGGGTCACCATAAGCCAGCGGCAATAATATTGAATAAGATGTTCTTAACAATTGGAGCCCACTTGGAATAAAGCTTTAGGCAATTTTGCTGCTGACTCTACCTTGTATTTAGTAAATTTAAATTTACAGAATGTGTGCCTAGAGATAAGATTAGTTCATTAGTCATTGTCTGTCTTTGAACCAAGCTTAGCTAATGAGCCAGTTGGTATTAGTCACAAATGAGTAGCAAGACCTCGCTATATGCTGGGTTGAGGGGAGGCAAGTCTGATCTCTAAATAATCATACTAAGCTTAATGTTTCTCTAACCAAAATACCATTTGCAAACCCTGACTCCAGATCTGTCATGTGAACTTTGTTGGCTAGGGCTTCAGATTTGTTTTACAGATCACAAATTAGGGATGTTTTTTATGATGTTGCTAACCAAAAAAACCCGTTGCCATCGAAGTCGATTCTGACTCACAGCGACCCTACAGAACAGAACAGAACTGCCCCATACAGTTTCCAAGGAGCACCTGGTGGATTTGAACTGCTGACCTTTTGGTTAACAGTCATAGCTCTTAACTACTATGCCATCAAGGTTTCCATGATGTTAGTAGGAGCTCGAAAATTGGAAAGAAGAAATTGTATGGGGTTTCCTCAGTATTGTGTGCGTGCCCTCAGGCCAGCCAGTCATTGAATTCTTGCTTACAAAGTCTTTGACCTGCCCTTCCCATCATATTGTAAGACCAACAAATATTTTCTGATTTTGTTTAAGACTGGAAGCATTTATGGAGACTTCCCAGTTAAATCTATGACAGTGTCAATTCAAACAATGCAATTAAATATATTCTGAAATAACTGCAAAAGAAAATTGAAATGTGTTAGTATGTCAGCTCTGCACCTGGGAGATAACTGTATATTTGGAATGCTTATGCTTCTCTGAATAAGCCATATCACAGGTTAACAAATTGTATATAGTTTTCCATATGCCCCTTCAGAAACCTGGTATTTTGCATATGATTGATTTTAGATTTTGAAGCTGGGGTTTGCCCATGTACTTTAAGATCAAAGTAGTGTGTGTGTGAATGCACTGTATTTGCAATTTTCAAGTTGTAATTTCCTACACGTTCATTAAATGTTTCCCCATGTGGTTTATTAAAAAATGGAAAGATTTTTAAAAAGTTTCTTTTTTAAAAAACAGTATTGTTAACGTAAACTAATAGTTGGTTAAAATCATAAATGGAAGTCAGTTGTGTTGCTATAATTAATATCAAACAAAAGCATGAGAGACACACTACAACCTCCAATGAAATTTGCACATCTTTCCAAACCTAACCACAAAACTTAAGCATACATATATTTTCATTAAGAAGTTTAAAGATCAGAGGTGTAGGAAAGAAGAAACAAGAAAACCAGCAATTTGCTGATTACAATATACCTTGCACATAATATCTAAGAGTGACAAATTAAAGAAAGTATATTGTCATTCTATGAAATTAAAAGACAAAGGTAATTAAAGAAGAGTAAAGCTCACGCCATCATAAAATACGTTTTCAAAGAATATTTAATGACTTGGAAAAACGCTCATATGAAAGAAAGACAGAAGGAAACAAAACTGTAACGATTCCAATTTGACATTAAATGTTGTATAAATGGACTAGAAGGAAGTACATCAAACTGTTAATAGTTACCTCGATGTAACTAGAACTACACTGACCATTTTCATGTCCTTCTTTAAAATTTTCTACATTTTCCACACTAAACACGTAACATTTATAATAGGGAAAATAGCCATTATTATAAGAAAGAAATCCAAGCATTTACATCAGATTACCTTGTGAAGTAATGGTATCTGGGTTACAATAAAAATATCTATTGGAGAAGTGTATTAAAACTCTCTCTCGTTCTTGAGTTTCTCCCACAAGAGAAAATGCTTTAAAGAAATACCTGGAAAAAAAAAAATTACAGGAAAAAAAGTAAAATTTTTAAAAAGGTTATCACAACTCGTTGTTTGACAGAGTTCATTATACATACACCAGAAACCAATTAATATATTCTATCATTTTTAAATCATATTCATGTTATTCAGAAACACAATAAAAATTTATATTGACATTTAAGTTCAATAAAAATGTAAATACAAAAGATGACAGGGTAATAATGTTGTGGCCAATATGTCAAGAAAGCCTTGAGAATGTAAGTAATTTCTCCACTATGACTAAGAGTCAAGTAGCCAATTTCAAAAGGTCTCACTCAGGGAGGAAAACCAAGGAATACTTCAGACAGAGCCCACAATCACGCAGGCTATGTTTTACAACTGCGCGCATCAGAGTTCTTTTACCACGGTTACTTGATTGTAATCTCCACTGGCCCACTGTTACACTCACAATTAAACAGATTCTCATTGACTTTATATTGCCTATCATCACATTACTAATTTTGTTATATGAAAAGGAAACTGGAGATAAAACCCCAGCTTATTCCTGATATCATGGAATAAATTAATTTACGTATTAAACGTCTTTGAACAATAGAAAATATACCCAGAACCACGTATCAATTTAATTCCCCTGGTGACACAGTTAGGCTGCTAACTGAAGGGCTGCAGGTTCAAACCCACCAACCAGCTCTTTGGGAGAAAGACCTAGCAATCTGCTTCTGTAAAGATTACAGCTTAGAAAACCTTATGGGGCAGTTCTACTCTGTCACACGGAGTCGCTATGAGTTGGAATCCACTCACTGGCACCCAGCAACAACACGAGTGTCTTCTACTATAAATAAATTCAGATAATCCTCACTTTATAAAGTAGATTCAGTTCCCTAAACATAAGATGGGAAAAATAATTTAAGAATTCTTACTACTGAAAGAAATCACCAATAAATCTTATTTCTACACTGAAAAATTACTCTTCTTCCTTATTATGGATTTATAATTTGTTAATTTAAACATAGTCAAACTTTTTCATAATATGTCTTTTTTTAATAAACCATATCAGAAAGCAAAGCAAAAATATGATCCTTTCTCTGCCCATTAGAAAACCTATAACATATGGGTACCCTTTACTCATGGAAAGGGCCACATGGAAAGTCACTGTTGTACATTCTAATCCAAACATCCTCATTTCACCTCCTCAGGCCTCAGTTTCCTGATTGTAAAATAAGAAAGTTATACAAGATGATCTCAGAATTCCTCCAGGATCTGACATTTTATAAATAGTTTATAAGATTCAATGCTTTACCTTTAGCTATTCTCAAAAATTTGCAGTACAGTGCGGGTGTGAAAAGTGAGGATCAATGTGTTTAAAACACCTTCATTCGAATAGATCAGCAAAAAGGGGATGCATCCTCAATCAGTTTCACAGACACTTTCTGCTGATTATTATACTGATATTCATTTTCATTCCATTCTAGAGTTAATTCCAAAGTATCATCTTAAAAGGGGATTTTGCTATTGTTAAGCAAATGCTTAGGAAAAAAATTACAATTCTACAGTCTATTAACTATGCCTTTTTTTTAACTGTTAATTCAAAAGTGAAATTCCCACGTTCCATTTTGCCTCAAGACTTACTTTGCCACAATTCTTTACTACGTCATGGATTTAGGCTTATAAGTAGAGGCAGAATGTGGGCTTATGTGTAATTTCATAAAAATAATACATTTTCTGCTAGGTTTAACATCTATAATGTAAACTGAGCTAAGTTCACAAAGTAACTGTGAATTTTAAAAATTAATAAAATCTGATTCTAACTTCAGCACATTATTTTCTCTTCCAAGAATTAATTATTTGGAAGCAAAAGAGTAGAAGCGGTGTTTAATCAGACCTGAGAGACTGATCCAGCGTCATTCCTGTGAAGTCAAAAAACTTCAGATATTCTTCTGCAACTAGTTTGCTAAATTCGTTGCTATAAGAAAACAGAATAGATGTGGTTATTAAAATCAAAACGACTAAGACACACACTCACACTCACATCCACACCCACACAACAGAATAAACTCAGACACCAGACTTGGGTCAGAACGTACTTTTTGCCTAGGTGCTTCGCAACATCCGACCTTTTGAATCTGTCTAGTTGATAAAGGCGTCTGGCCAACCTTTTGGCTGCTTCCACGTTGCTGCTGGTACCATTACTGAGACTTTCTGGGGTCTCCTTTTCCAGAATTTCAGTGCTCCCCATTTCAGAATGAGCTGCTAGCAGTGTCTTTTTCACCCCAGCATTGCTGTTAAAATTGATAAACAGGAGAGGAAGAAAAGTTTTTCTTGTGTGGCAAAAAGGCAGATACTTACACAATTATCATGATATTTATAGAATCAACTAAATGAAAACTATTTTAAATAAGATAATTTCATGCTAGTTATTCATAAAAATATTTTCAGTTACTATATTTCAAAGTGCTAGAGCTAAAAAGAAGTGACTTATATGCCCACTTAAACATCAGACAAGCAGTTCTCAAACTTTTTGGTCCCAGGCCCCCTTTTCAAGCTTAGGATGGCATGTACAAGTTTTCCAAAATTTGAATTTTTGATTAAAGACTCAAATTTTATCATTAGCAACAAACATTGTCATTTGTTTTCCTTAAAGTGACAGATTTGCCAACTAACAAGCTTAAGTAACCATAGCTTGTCAGTCAGTCAGTATTCAAGGAAAAATGGGTGTTCCATGAGAAAAGCAGCTAGTTTAACTCACAACCCAAGTAACTGTGCTTTCCCTAGAGACAGTCATCATTCCTCAGTAGGAGCAGAGGTGCTTCATGTATCACACTTCCCATTTCATCACACAGGAAACGTGTACGCAAAGGCTGAAGTGTAATAAAATTAATCATTTTTACTGCTTCATCAAGTACATTTTTAGATAAAATTGGCCTTTGTTTTTACTTTGAGTGCATGGCAGTGGAGGATCCAATGATTACTAGGACAGTTTGGTGCCACTGCCTTGATTTGTGCTAAGGTGCCAGTAGTTTTAGCCATGATTGCTTTTGTATCATCAGTACAAATATCAACACGGTAACAAGGAAAAAAGCCTGAATGTTACTATAAAATAGTTTTGACCTCAACAAACCTCCTGAAAGGTACTCAGGAACATTCAGGAGTCCACAGACCACACACTGAGAACCTCTAAGGGGTCAAAAACTTCAGTCTGGCATGTTCTAGAGTACATCATGCATTTGCAACACTGAATCCAATTAAGGTACAGTAATTGCCAAATCTTCATTTTAACTTGGTCACAAAACAAAGACAAGTTTATGATAAAAATACTGTACATAAATGGCCTGCCAACACACCTGAGACTCCACACCACAGGTAGTAAAATTGTCCTAAAAATGACCAAACAGTAAACAGGTTAACCCGGTAGTTCACAAAGTCTCTGTCATATAGTCTTTGTTTTTGTTGTTTCGTTACAACCCTTTAAAAATGCAAAAACTATTTATTCTAGGCTAGGCTGAGTTTGGCCCACGAGTGATAGCTTGCATGTCCTTGCTCTGCGTTTATAATACTTTAACTTGGCCTGAATTATAAGAACAGTAACCACGTACTGTCTAAACCAAGGCACTCTTAAGAGGGAACCAAAAAAACCAAAACCAAACCCATTGCCATCTCCGACTCATAGCAACCCTAAAGGACAGAGTAGAACTTCCCCATAGGACTTCCCAGGAGTGGCTGGTGGATTCAAACTGCCAACTTTTTGGTTAGCAGCGGAGCTCTTAACCATTGCAACACCAGGGCTCTTAGAGGGAACAGGAATGATAAAATAATTACATATATAATTGTTACAAAGCAAAACAGTATTACCAATCCAGTAAAAAAAAAAAAAAAACTGTAGATTTACACATGTAATAAAATGACAAAAAACCCACTGTAGCAAGAACAAATACATTTTTAAGTGGAACTGCTCGGCCTGTATTTTGTACTTATGTCACATATACCGAACTTTAATCTCTCATTTCCTACTGTTACACCAACTAAGCATTAGCTTCATTATCACCCAGAATACAGCCTGGGCTACTGCATAACCAGCTGGTACACCAAGGAGCCCAGAGGGGCTGCTGATCTAATGCTTCTCTAACCACCACTAGACTTCAAGGAGTTAGTTGGCCCTATCAGCTCCTCTTCAAGCATACTTTATCAGCAAGTACACTGCGCGCTGTCCTTGAAAGGGAGGTATAAGAGAAGAGGAAAGAGGCTGGTCACCCTAGACTCTGCTCACTGTATATGTTGACTCACACATTCCCACATTCTCGGGTGAGAACAGGGAAGAAGCTGGAAGTACAAAGTGGTAGCCTATCAAATTCATGCTAGCTTATTGTAACGATTAATAATAATATTTAATTTAAAAAAAGAAAAGTCTGAGTCAAATGCTAAACCAAAGGACAACAGTTATAAACCGGGGCCCAAGCAAACCAGGATGTAAGGTAACAATTTTCCAATAGAAATAACCACTCATTGAAATAAACTGCTTCATTATGACAAAATCTTCACGCTACTGCATTTAATTTTTTTTTATTATCCTAAGCTTTCCTTTATATAGTTCACATTATCAGACAGTTTTGTGAAATACAAACATCTTATCCTATTAGAAAATTGGATATTTAACTATTACACCAAGCAAACCTACAAACTCATAGAAGAAATTTACTTGAAAGGGTAACTCACAGTTAAGTTGTGTTTTTCCACATGATAAGGGTTAGAAGTGTAAAATATTCACTCCAAGAACTATGTCACTTACAATCAAGTAATTATTAGAATTACAAAAAAAATACCTCGAGTTGTACTCCTATGCTTTCTCTTCCTCTATATAGTAGCTATTAAGTAGAAAAAACAAACGTCAAATAAAGGTTTTCTTCTCATTTAAACTGCTACTTGTTGCTCACTATTCTCAGGGCAAATCCATGGCATGTATTTACTCACTCCATGCAAACAATGCAATTATACCACATAAATAGTACTGCAATGATTTATTCAAATACAACAGGTTTATCTTAATGAGCACATATTAAAATTTTTTTTAGTGATTGGACACATTCCTATTTCTTACGTTTCAATTTTTTTTTTTGCCTCTTCTTTCTACTATCTTATCTAGCCCTGCCTATTTCACCTAATACCCTCACATTCACTAGAAGGAGGTAAGTTTAAAATTTGTATGCATCAGTCTTCTGGGAATAAACCACCAGTAACAGGAGAAAATAAAAAATAAAGTGAGAATAGAGAAACACCTCCATTCTTGGATGGCTTCTTTCTGCCCAAATTCATGGCTTGGAGATTACTTGAACAGGCACACGGCCTGTTCCCTTTAAGTGGGAAAGCCTGGCAATACGCCGGTAGTACAAACTCACCAGCACCAACACAGATGGCAGCAAGAACCCATCACGGAGTCTGGGGCGCACCTGGGCCATACTTCCTCTTGTAACCCCCTTCACAGCATTCTTCACCGCCCAGCTGAAGGGTCTCCTGATCTACTCTGGTTTCCAAAGATCCAGCTCCCTGTGAGGTCATATTACTATGACCTCACATTCTCTGCAGAGTGTTTACTGTTGGAGTTTTTGTAATGTTTTTACAGCCCCAATAAAAACAGGAGCCAGAACACAGTGGCCACTGTATATCGAGGGCATAAAAAACAATGGCATCCCAGCTTTGTTCACGCTTGATAAAACAGACTGGATGATCTCTATCAGTGGGGATAACACCCCATTTTGTTTCCTCGAATACACAAGACATTGTCCATCTAGTCTGTTGAGTATTAGATGCTTTCCACAACTTCATCAGTGGTTTGGATTTTCCCTTCTTTTCTATAGTTCAACTTTATTTTCCCTACTTTTCTTTACCAAGTAACTTTACAATCTCATGAGGTGAAATCCCTACCAGTCACTTAAATATAGAAAAGATTTCCCGAAAGGTTTTCCGTGTTCTACGAAATGTTTCAGTAGGGCCTATACCTCACACCTCCAAGGAAATGTGGTTACACTCTAAAGAGGGATCGGATTATAGAGTCTGATCAGCAGACCTTTTCATAACCTTTCTATCCTACTAGCATTGTCAGGTTTAGCAAATAAAAATAATAGGACACTTAGTTAAATTTGAATATCAGATAAACAATGAATATTTAGGACATACTTATACTAAAAATTATTTGTAATCTGAAATTCACATTTAACTGGACATTCTATGCTTTATCTGGCAACCCTATCTTCTGAAATGTCTGTCTCCAAACTTTAAAGAATCCTAATAATGGTGGTTCCCTTTTTTGGGGGGTGGGGGGGAAGGGGGACGTGGCTTGAGATTTATTTTTATTTTATTGTGCTTTAGATGAAGGTTTACAGAGAAAATCAGTTTCTCATTAATTAAGACACATACTGTTTTGTGACATTGGTTGCCAACCCCATGACATGTCAACAGTCTCCCCTTCTCGACCTTGGGTCCCCCATTAACAGCTTTCCTGTCCCTCCTTCCTTCTCGTCCTTGCCCCTGAGCTGGTGCACCCACTTAGTCTCATTTTGTTTTATGTGCCTGTCTAATCTTTGGCTGAAGGTTGAACCTAAGGAGTGTCTTCAGTACTGAGTTAAAAGGGTGTCCGGGGGCAATACTCTCAGGGTTTCTCCCGTCTCTGTCAGGCCAGTAAGTCTGGTCTTTTTTTGTGAGTTAGAATTTTGTTCTACATTTTTCTTCAGCTCTGTCTGCAACCCTTTACTGTGATCCCTGTCAGAGCAGTCGGTGGTGGTAGCTGGGCACCATCTAGTTGTGCTGAACTCAGTCTGGTGGAGGCTGTGGTAGTTGTGGTCCATTAGTCCCTGGGACTAATCTTTCCCTTGTGTCTTTGGTTTTCTTCATTCTCCCTTGCTCCAGAAAAGGTGGGACCAGCGGAGTATCTCAGATGGCTACTCACAAGCTGTTAAGACCCCAGACACTACAAACCCAAGTAGGATGTAGAATATTTTCTTTATAAACTATGTTATGCCAATTAAGCTAGATGCCCCCAAGACCATGGTCCCCAGCCCTGAGCCCAGTAACTCGGTCCCTCAGGGAGTTTGGATGTGTCTGTGAAGCTTCCATGACCTTGCCTTGGTCAAGCTGTGTTGACTTCCTCAGTACTATGTACTGTCTTACCCTTCACCAAAATTACTACTTATTTATTGCCTAGTTAGTGTTTAATCTGCAGCCTCATTCACAATCAGATTCCTTCTGGCTTTGTTTCCACTTGCCTCTGTGATTTATATTTTATTCCTGC